AGGGGAAATAATTACTTCCTGCCGGTATTCATCCCTTCCTGCTGGCTCTGCCGCTCTCTCTCCCTTCCTAGATTCTTCTCTTTACCCTTCCTTGTGTTGGGGATCCTCTGGGGAAAGAGGATCCCCCCTGCGTTTTTAGATACGTGGATCCCCCTCCTAAGGGAAGAATGGCCTAAAGTTAAAAGGCTTCAGGATGTGAGCAGGTGGGGGGTCGCTCCCACACCAGCTCTGGGCTCCTCATCCACAGCTGGAGCTGAGTCCCCAGGGCAGGAGGCAGCCTTGACTCCACTCCACATGGGGACAGGTCCAGGTCCCTGGCGCCAGTGAGCACCCAGAGGGCAGACCCCCGTCCTCAGAGGCAGACACTCATGAACTGAATCCTCAGGACAACCCTGCGAGACAGGTCTCGCGACCCCCAAGTCACAGAAGGGGAAACTGAGGCCAGGAAGGGGGTTTGTGCAGGGTAACCCTGTCCCCGCCCCTGAAGACCCAGCCTTAGAGCAGGAGGCCCCCAAGCTGTGGGGGAGAAGCCCTGAGCTCCGGGCGGGGAGAAGGCAAGGCCTGCTTTGTCAGAAGATGGGGGCCTCGCCCCTCTCCACCCCCACCTGGTGACTGGGACAACAGGACCTCTCTTCTAGGTGTGTGTTGACAAGTGGCAATTTACTTTTTAAAATATTGTTTTATTTATTTTTTTCTGTGGTGCTGAGGATGGAACCCAGGGCCTCACTCGTGCTAGACGAGCGCTCGACTGCTGAGCCACAACCCAGCCCTGACAATTGGCAATTTAATGGAGACATAATTAGACTTAAAGGCTAAAATAGCCAGAACCCTCGGCCCCAACCTACCCCCTTGGGAGCCGGAATCTCCCTCGTCCCTGAACTCTCTGAGGCCCCAGAACCAGCCCAGCCCCCACCTCCTCCCTTCGGAGGCCCTAAAGCGTCACCTCTATACCACCCTCCTACCCACCTAGGTGATAGCTGTCCCCACTGCACAGATGGGGACACTGAGGCCCAGAGCAGAGAGGGACTCACTCCAGCCTTCAGGGTGAGGTCGCATCTCCAGAGCTGGGCTCCAGCACCCTGCCTCAGGCCGCCCTCAGACTCCTCCCTGTTGGCAAGCCACAGGGGGCCAGGGGCTGGGGGGGCAGGGGGGCCTTCCCACTCACCCTTTCTCTCCCCATAACCGTTCAGTGGCCCCAGGGGCCTGGCAGGACTGGGGACCCCCCCCTTCAGCCCAGGGGCACCTGCGGCCTGAGAGGGGAGGACATGCTCCCAGGGCACATTTGGTACAGAGCTGTCTTTGGCCACCAGGGGGCTGGGGCCATCCAAAAGACCCACATTTGAGCCCGGCCCCATTCCCCTGTCTGACCCCAGGTCTCCACGGAGAATTTCTAGCAGATTCTTCCTGCCTATTAAAAACCATGGAAGAGAAGCCAAGTTGCCTCTCCCCAGTCCCCCACGGGGCTGCTGGCCTGCGGCTGCTGTCTGTGGACAGCACCCCATCACTCGTAGGCCTTACTGGGTCCTGGTCCGCCATGCGAGAGCCCCAGCCACCCCGGCCTGGCCCAGAGAGGTGGTGCAGCCCGAGGCCACACAGCTCTGGGGATGGCGAAGGCTGTTTGAATAGTCCTCAGGTTCCAGGCTCCTGAGCGTCACTCTGTGGCCTCCAGCCTACCTGGTGCAGACCCCAGGACACGGAGACCCCGCGCCACCTATTTGTGCAGGTCTGGCTCACAGCTGCGGGCACAAGTCCCACGGGCGCCCCACAACAGCCCAGCTCTGTGTCCAGTGGAACGTCAGGGGCTTTGCACGGGCTCCCCAAGTGCAAGGGGACTGTGGGGTGGGGACTATTATATTTAACTCACAAATGAGGAAACGGAGGCACACGGAGGTTATGTGACTCGTCCAAGGTCACGTGACTAGGTGGAGCCAGGGTCTAAACTTGTGCAGCCTGGCTCCAGAGCCCTCCCTGCAGACCCAGGGAGCAGGGCTCTGTCTGGGCCCTGCCACCCTTAGCCAGGAGGACGGCTGGAGGATCCCTCTCAAGGGCTACTTCCCACAGGAGACAACAGGCCCAGAGAGGGAAGGGGGTTGTTTGCAGACACGCAGCTGAGTGAGCCCTGTCCCTGTGTCGTTCCTGGCCCTGGGAACCCCCAGCACTACCCACCTCCCCAGGCTCAACATGCCACTTTGGTCCCCTCCCCTACCACAAGGGATCGTGGCTCTGGGGAACTGAGGAGGGGCGACGGCCTGGTGACGGGCGGCCAGGAGAAAGGAAGCTTGGAACCTCCCTCACGAGCCGCCAGCAGCTCCTTGAGAAAGAGTCTTGGCTCAGGGAGGCAGCCCAGGGAGGCTGAGAGGCCTGGAGGGGAGGCAGAGGCCAGAGAGGCCCAAAGTCCATCAGCGCAGAGATGGGCTTCCTCCTGAGCTCTCCCATAAATGCTTTCCAAAGCTGCTGATGGCCAGAGCTGGGGGAGGGAGGGGAGGGACAGGCGTGGGGCAGGAGATGCCATCACCATCAGCCTGAAAAGGACATTGGGAGTTCCATTTGGTTTTTGATCTGAAGGTGGCCAGAGGCCAGGAGCTTGGGAATGGGCAGGAGAGAGAGAGGACATAGAGACACAGGGACAGAGAGCAGGCAGGGGCAGAGACCCCGAGAGTCAGAGATAGGACCAGGACTGAGAGAAAGACAGGACGAGGACAGCAAATGGAGTCAGGACTCCGAGTGCCCCCGCACCCGCCTCCAAAAGACCCTGTGCCCCCTCCGCATGCGCGCACCCACACCTCACACCAGCTCACACGGGAGCCTCCAGAGCCCTTCTCCCCTGAGCCTGGGCCGAGGCAGAGCTGGGCCCAACAGGGACCCAGGGACTGGAGGGTGGCCACCACTCCGCTCACCCCATGGTGCCTCTGTGCGGTCTCTGACCAGCTGAGCACGAACCCAGGGGCACCCAGGGAAGGAGCCAGGGCCTGTCAGGGACCAGTGCAGAAACTGAGGCTCAGAGCAGTAAAGCAGCTCTCTCAGGGCCACACAGCTGGGATCAGAACCTGCCTGTGAGCCCTCTTGACCCACTGTCCCACAGGGAGACCAGCAGGAGGCAGCTGCCCACCCTCTGCCCCACATTTTACAGACCCAAAACAGCCTGGCAGGAAGCGGGCATCACAGGTAGGCTGCGGAGTGGCCCACTCGGGCCCCACGGGGGGCTGTCCCCTGCCCACACTCACCCTAGAAAAGGGAGCCTGACCCCAGTGCCGGCCCAGGCAGAGGGGAGTCCCGACCCCACACGGCTAAGGACACTCCGAGGAGGGCACCAGACTACACGAAAGCTGTCCTGCGGCGCCACCTAGTGGTGCGCTGGTGGGAACGGCGTCCAGCACCGCAGCCTCCGTCAGTTCCTTTCCCCGCCACGCGGCGGCAGCGCCTCTGCCTATCACCGGCTGAGCCCCTGGCTGACCGGTGGACACGCTGGGATCCACCCAGCCCCAGGGACATTGGAACCCGGAGAATCCCCCACCTGGGGACCACGTGCTGACTGGCCCACACCTGAAGGAGACAACTTGTTCCTTCACTCTGAGGAGGTCTGCTCCTGGGCATATCCCACGTCCCCACCTCGTGGACATCGCTACCTCCTGGACATCTCCACCGGCTGCTCACTGTCATTCCAAACTCACCCTTTCTCCATCCTGTCCTTTATGAGGCACTAACTATATGCGGAGCACTGCTCCAGGGACTAGGGATAAAATACTAAAACCATTCTCACCCTCCTGGAGCTGAGGGGGCGCGGATGGGGAACCAGACAGTAAACAGCAAGTACACAAAGGAAACAGTCTGGTTACTTAGAAGCAGGAAAGAGACACCTGTCAGACCACACGGCTGGGTTCCAGGGCCCCCAGGGTCCTTAGGACAAAATTAAAGAGCTCCGCCCCTGAGACCACTGGGCCCTCAGGTCATCTCTTCTTCTCCCATGGGCCACTCCTGTGTCTCCCACCCTCCATCACCGCACACGGTCAGCTCCTCCTATCCTCCAAGGGCTTTCCTGTCTCTGTGGCTTGACAGGCCCCACCCAGAACCACAGCGCTGCTCCCCTGGACAGCTCGCTGGTGCAGGAGTGTCCAAATCAATCTGACTTGATGCCCAATCATGGCACCACTGGTGTGACCTCACTGGGTTCTTTGGCTTCTATTTCCTATTCTATAAAGTGGGGAAAGCAATTCCTACCTCAGAGCTGGGGACGTGCAGAGCAGGACCCTGACCCTGGATGCACGTTCTGTTATTGATGTGGCCTCCCTGGGGGCTAGCTGAAGGTTGGACCGTGAGGTCTACCGGGGAGACTGGCTGAGGAGGCTCAGTGCCCCGCACTATGTGCCAGGTATACAGGAGGCCCTCAGAACATGTTTGCTCGGTGAATTCAGTCGTTCCTTTTGGTTTGCCACTCACTTACGGAGTGGTGCTGCGCGTTGCCTGTGCCAGCGCCCGGCAGGGGCTGCCGGGGGAGCCCTGAACCAGCAGGCTCTTACCCACAGGAAGGCGTTCTCAAAGTGTGAGGTCTAAGAAGCCCTTTACCCTCTTAAAAACTTAATATCTACTGACATTTAACACAATAGAAACTAAAACTGAGAAAATATCTTAAATGTTTATTAATTCACTTTACAGAACAAAAAACTTATTGGTAACAAATATTTTATGAAAAAGTGTATTTTTTCAAAACAAAAATACATTATTCCGCATGTTTGCAAAGGTCTTTACTGTCTGGCTTAACGGAGGACACAAAGTCCCTTGCTGTAAGTTGCTTAGGTAGAAGCACCTGAAACCAAACGCGGCCTCACGATGTCCTTTCCTAAAACTAGAGAATGCAACGCTCGGCCCCGCGCCACGCCCAGGAGAATAATTGACCAACCAAGCTCGAGTACTGCAGGCGACTTCCGGGAGAAGGCGTGGTTTGGCTAGCAAGGAGCCGGTTGGATTAGGATTGGATAACAAATGTGTCCTTCCTCGCCTTGACCCGCTCCCAGTTCCCGCCCTCCTTCCGTGCCCGAGTACACCTTTAACGCATGCGTCGTGTGGAAGGTGGGCACTTCCGCCGCCCACTCCGGAACCGTCTGTTCTAGCGGGGGTTTCCGCGGAGACAAATAAAGCCGTCAGCGCGGAAGTAGCGTGGGCCGGGTCAGGCGCAGTCATGTCGGCCGCGTTGCTGCGAAGGGGTCTCGAGCTGCTGGCGGAATCCGAGGGTGAGGAGGGATTTCTCGGGGGCGTCCGGCGCGGGCTGGAGGACGGTGGGAGCCGCAGGCAGAAGCCCCGGGGTGAGGAATGACCCGGGCCGACTCAGCCCCGGCGTGATGGCAGCAGCACCACCAAAGTCTCTCTTCCCTACAGCCTCCCGGGCCGCGCCAAGCCAGGCCAAGCCGAGCGGAGCTCGGCTGAAGCGGACTCGGAAGGCGAAGGCGAGCCAGGCCCAGAAACTGCGAAACTCAGCCAAGGGAAAGGTGCCCAAATCGGCGCTGGGTGAGTTGCGGGAGGGTCTGGACGTGCTGCCGCCAGGTTTGGGGACGGCGCCCTGGAGGAGGTGGCACTTGAGGCAGGACTTGAAACGTTCCCTGGATATGGTGCAGCGGGGCCCAGGACGTGCGGGTGGAGGAAGCATGTAGTAAGGGCCCTCCTGGACCGCGGCCCTGGCGGGGATGTAAAAGACGCGGGTGCTCTGAGAGGGGTTTGGAATAAAGGCCAAGTCAGCCTCCTCCGAGGAAGTAACCTTTAGGCTGAGAGCAGGTGGCGGCGTGAGAGTGGCCAGGTGAAAGGAGAAGACTAGTCTAAGAAGAATAGCTTGTGTAGAGGTCCTGAGTGAGAAAGGAGCTTGTGGCCTTTGAAACATGTAGTGAACAAGGGTTAAGATGGAGCACTCAACAGTTTAATACCTCCGGGTGCTGTTCTAAGCCCTATGCAAATTGTAACTCGTTTGATCCCCAAACCAACCCGGTGATGTTGGCACAGCTATCACCCCCATTTTACAGATGCAAAAAGAAATACCTGCCCAGATGGAACATATGGACACTAGGCAGTGTGTCTCCAGAGTCCTGCTTTTTTTTTTTAAAAAAAAGATAGACTTTATTCAGAGAGAGAAAGAGAATTTTTCAATATTTATTTTTTAGTTCTCAGTGGACACAACATTTTTATTTTATTTTTATGTGGTGCTGAGGATCGAACCCTGCGCATGCCAGGCGAGCAGTGTTACCGCTTGAGCCACATCCCCAGCCCTCAGAGTCCTGCTCTTTAGCTTCATTCAAGTGGGAGGTGCTGTGCTTAATGCAGTGCTGATAGCAGCAGAGATAACAGAGAATTGTGCAGTTGCAAGGTATTGAGGAGGGAGCATCGATGGGCTGGAGTGGTGATTTGACTGTGAAGAGGGATCCCAGTTTATACAAGAACTCTTAGGAATGGTGCTGCTGTTAACAGAATAGAAAGCCTTGGGGAGGAGCAGGTGTGGGCAGGATGGGAAACACTGTTGGGTGTCTTTGAATCCACAGGGCTTGGTGCATAAGAAGTGTTCATGTATTTGCTAGAGTTAGAAATGACGAGGAAACAGCAGGAGAAAGGTGTGGAAGCAGGGAAGTGGGACAGACTGGAGCACCAGTGAAATGTGCTGTGCCACAGGAGCTTAGTCACCACTCTGTCACTGGGGTTCCTTTTGCTGTTTCCCCTGGACTGGGACCTCCTCACACCACAGACTTCCCTTGGGCTTGTGTGTGGCCCTGATGTCCAGCCCAAGGGTGGGCACATAATTGATGGGTATAAGGAACAGCAAGCCTTGGCAGCCACCCCACAAAATACCTCTGTGGCTGCCCCTTGGTCTAGGACGCCTCACCTCTTGTCTGGATTATTGCCAGAGCCTCCTTGCTGGTCTCTGCCTTCCACCCACTACTCCCCTAGTAGTCTCATTCTCATCAGCACCAAGGGGATCTCAAGTGATCCTCAAGCCTTGTTTCCCCTTTACCTCACCCTTCCATGTCTCCCGATGTTCTCCATAAGAGCCCTGAGTTTTCAGTGTTTGATGACACCCTGTATGACCTGCTTCCTCCCCACGCCAACCACTTTGTTCTTCAAACACACCTTCCTATATTGAAATTGCAGCCCTCTACCCCTGGCATTCCTCTTTCTATCTCCTATTCTATTTTTCTCTATAAAGTGAATCAGTCTCAAAACTATTGTTTACCTGGTTTCCCATCTTTTCCCACTTACTACAGTATAAGTTGTATGAGGGCAAGCGTTTTTGATCTGTTTCTTGCTGTGTGCCCAACACCCAAAACAGAGCCTGACACAGTTGTGCTAGGGCCATATTTGTTGAAAGAGTCAGGACCAACTGGGAACCCCAGGGGCCTACAGGTGAGGGTTTAGCAGGACCTACCCGTGTGGAAAACAGATTTGGTCAGGAAGTGCCCAGACTGTTGCAGTTATCCAGGATGGGCCTTTGGCAGGGCCAGGGACCCAGGAGACTTCCAGAGTGTAATTCTAAAACGAGGGTCCTTGCTTGCCACCCACAGCTGAGTACCAGAAGCGAGAGTGTCACAACCACCTCAGAACAAACCTGAAGTTTATGACCAGCAAGAGAAGCACGGTAGAGGAGTCTGTGACCCAACAGGTTTGTCCTGGAGAGTGATGACTGAGGCCTTTCCTCAGAATCCATGGTATCTCTACCCTGAATACAAGGTGGAAGTTGGGCTAACCCATGAAGGTCAGCAGAGTGGTTGGGGAGAGGATGGTCCAGCCCTGCCTTGAGCCATACTCCCCTGTGACCTTGTGGGCCTTGGTCTGCTTTTCTGAAAATGGAAGTAGTTTGTCCTCACTTTGTACACTCCCTAGATTCTGCGCCAAAACCGGGGCCGCAAGGCCTGTGACCAGCCTGTGGCCAAGACTAAGAAGAAGAAGGTAGCCGAGGGTACTGTGTTCACTGAGGAAGACTTCCAGAAGTTCCAACAAGAATACTTTGGCAGCTAGGCTTCCTGGAGGGACCCATGGGAGAGGCACTTGGGCCCATCTTCCTAGGACTTCCCTGCCTCTGCTGGCCTTGGGACTCAGCCAAGCCAGGCACAGCCAGCAGATGGCGATGCACACCAGCCTGTTTCAAGGAAGCCCCACAGCGGGAAGCACTGGAAGACAGGAATGGAGCTAATGAGCTAGAAGCTTAGAAGCCTTGGAGCAGATTTATACTCAAACTGGAGCTGATCTTTCAGGCTTGGTTGTTGAAAGAGTCATGAGGGGCCATTTGCACCTGCCAGAAAAGAACACTTCTTTTTGCTTTGCCCAGGTAAGGCCTCTGGGCTGTTTGTCGGTAATGGGCCCTTAGGGATTACACTCCAGGAACATGAAGGTGGCTGCTGGATGGGCTTCTGGGCCCTAATAAACATGGACCTGAGCTATGTGCTACTGATCTTTTATGGGGTGTCTTCCATCTCCTCTGGAACTCCCCCGCTGCATGATCTAGGAGCTCCATGTCAGAATTCTTCCAGTCCAGGCCTAGGGCAGATGGCCATCCAGGGAGCTGTTTGCCCAGCTCCTCCCTAGGTGTGTGCTGCTGTTACTTTTGAGGCAAAAATAACATCTGCAGCTGCTGGGAGCTTTGTTCCAGGCAAGAAGGCAAGTCTGGGAAGGACAGAAGTGCAGCTGCCTCAGCTACCCGCAGGAGGCTGGGCTCTGCTGTGGGCACCAGTAGGTGGTTTCTGCCAATTCCCCCACAGCACCCAGGTTTCCTGCTCTGGTATGAAGCCCACTGGATCCTTCCTGTGTCACAAAGAGTAAGGCAGTTTCCCAGCATTGGGAGTAGTCCAGAAGAAGCAGTGTCTCACTCTGATCTGCCTGAGCAGTTTGTACTTGAGCCATACCACCACAGGAGGGCAGACTTGGGCCCTTTCCAGCAGGCAGTGACAGGACAGGTAAGGGATAGGTAATGTGTGGAATGAATGGTGCAACTTAGGAGTCCCTTCAGAGGCACACAGTGGCCCCATGGAGGATTAGGGGCCTCTAACAACCACCCCTCCCCTAACCTGAGAACTCCCAAGGTTTCTGTGGATCCTTTGAGGTTGGGTAGGTCAGAGGTGGGAATGACAATCTGCCAACACATTGGCAGGCCCCCTGAAGAAAGCAGCAGAGGGCTGGAGCTGTAGCTCAGTGGCAGAGAACTTGCCATCCTTAACACCACATTTAAAAATTAAAAGCAGGGCATGGGTTGTGGCTCAGAGGTACAGTGCTTGCCTTGCAGTGTAAGGCCCCCGAGTTAAACATTGTATCCCTCTACAACTTTTTTTAAATAAAAATTTTAAAAAGCAGGTTTTTAATAGTTTGCCATACATACACACACCCTGGGCCTCTTCCTAGCCTTTAGTTGCTCACTTTAGTGGGTACACAGGAGGGGAAACTGCCTAAAAGCAGTTTGGAGTCAGGTCGTATTTCCAGGACCTGCTTTAGGAAGCTCAATCTACTGTCTGCCTATCCAGGTCAGGGCAGGCGGGAGAGGGTGCCACCAATCCTAACTGTAGCAAGCAGGACCTTGAGGGCCTCCCAAGCAGGGACTGTTCCAAAGGAGTGATGATGGATCTTCCAACTTTTCCCTCCTGCTGGGGGTGGGAGGGCCACATTCTAGCATCTTTGGACAGCTGTTAACTGTCTTAAGCAGCTTAGCAAGGAGCTGGCTCAGCACTCAGCTCATCATAGTTTAAGGATGACCAGGCTCCAGGGCCCCTTCCTAACAAGGTCACACCCATCACCATACACTCAGATGCTTCCTGCCTCTCAAAGGTAAAGAGATATTGGGTTTACCAGTGCCTCTGGGTCAGGGAGCTGCAGGAAACAGCCAGCATCCCAGCTTTGGCTGTGTGGATCCTCTTAGCAACAGTTTTCCTGCCAAATGAGGGCACCCCACACCCCTGGGTGACTGATGACTCCCATCAGGGTGGCTGAGTCATTTTCCAAAGCTGCTGTACATCTCAACTTTCAGGCCTCCTGTCACCACCCAGCACTTGCAAGATGAGATGGCTATCTCCTTGTGGATACATGGCTACCATCAGTTTTTTAAAGTATTTTTGTTTTTGGTGGACACATCTATTTTAGTTTTTTATGTGGTGCTGAGGATTGAACCCAGGCCCTAACACATGCAAGTGCTCTACTGCTGAGCCACAACCCCAGCCCATCAAGTGTACATTTTAATTTACTGGGGGAGGGGGGGGGAATCTACAGCAACACAACTTAAGCACAGAACTGGAATTAAACAGCAGCAATGCCAAAGGGGCCTAGGGCTTCCCTCTCCACCTACCCATCTCTAAGCCTACAGTGTGGAGAACAGAAACCTTGAGAAACCAGATTTTTACTGAGCTGACACATGCCACCTTACCCTCACTTGCTTTTCTTTTAGCTAAAGTCCCACCCCACAACCATAGACTGCCTTAAAGTGTCCTGGAGTCACCTACTACTAGGCAGTGACCTAAGCCTGCTAGATTTGAGACAAATCCTTATATTAAAAAAAAAAGAAAACCAACCAGCATGAATATGGCATCCATGAAAGTTGCTGAATTTATGCCATTTCTTTCAACCTCTAAACCCCCACTTAAGACTTAAGCTGCTTAGGTGGGGTGTAATCAGTGAGCCTGACAATTTTTAGAGGCCTGAAAGGAGACAGCTGTGGGAAGGACAGGATCTCATCCATCACACCTCTTACCCACACCTACATAAAACCTGTGTAGGTAGTTTCCGATTCAGGGAAAAAGGTGAGCAGGGCCATGCACCCACATGCCACAATAGGGCCTGTATTACCAAGACAGTCCAGTCCCCCAGCTGTTTGAGACTGCAATAAAGCTGCAATTTATAGTTCCCCTCCAATGAATCCAAATATGGGGAATATAATCCTCAGCTGTCCTGCCTCAAGGCTTACCTCAGGGAGCCACTAAAGAGGCCACTGCAGAATTCATATCTTCCAAGTGGAACCTAATCCTCTTGTGCACTTATGGACTGGGTGACCTCATCTTGGTATTAACAGGTGTTGGCCAAAGCCAATCAGGGGAACAGGTGAAACCCAGGCAGCCCCTCCCTCTACCCTGCCAACTGTCTCAGAACTGAGTAAAAAGCACAATGAAGCATCTGGCCCAACAGCCTTCTGCCCTAGGGATCAAATAGAAACCACCAGATCTGAGGAAAACAGGCCCAGTGGAGTTGAAGATGCTCACTACTCCAGGATCATATCATCCCTTGTGAAAATATCCTCTGGTTACACAAAGAGTGTGCTTGTGTAAGGGGGGTTGCTTGACGAGGGGTTCCTTACCAGAGTCAAGAAACACAGCAAGACTGAACTATTACTTTAACTACAAAATAATTTATTACAACACAGCTTCAGCACGAGACACCTATGTACAAGCGCAGCACTCCTGACTACCCTACTGAGGGACCCTTTTTTTCCCCCTTGCCTTGCGGACCTCTTCTATCAAATCTTTCAGATATTGAATCTCCTTGGCCAAAGAATCTGCCTTCTCTTTCAGAGCCTCATTCTTCTTTTCTAGCTCTTTACACTCACCAGTGAGTGCTTCCTGTTCTGCCCTCTTCTTCTGGCGGTACCTGGTGGCTGCTGTCTTGTTTTGCTCCATTTTTTTCAACTTTTTATCCAGCTTCTCACCTTTTACTTTTGCTATAACCATTTTATCCCCAGGAGGGTCATAAGGTTTGGGGCGGTTAGACCCACAAGGGCCACCTGGAGATGGCAGGCTGACATTAGGAGAGCCCTTAGAGGTAGAAGGGCTATGCTGGGGAGAGCCCAGGTAGGACTCTGGGCTCATGCAGATGCCACTGTCATTATCTGAGGGGCCATCTTCCTCCTTGACACACTGAGGGATCATAGTACCATAAGCAGCAGAGTCGGGCTTCCTCTCTCCTTCAGAGATATCCACTTCACTGCCGAGCTCTAAGCTAAAGGAATGATCTTGAGTGGAAGAAAGATCCCCAGGGGAAAGGGAAAGAGGTTGAAAGAATGTGAAAGGGGCAACCTGGTCTGTTTTTGAACTTTCTGGGAGATGGCCAATTAGGTTCACTACCTGGGGTGGCTCCTTATTAGTCTCCTGGACTAGGGGGGGAAAGAGATCACATGTATCATATAACGTGGCCAAAAGCTCATCTGGCATGGTTTCAAGGTCATCTATACTCAACAGGGCATCAAAGTCAAACTCCTTCAGATCCATTTTCTCCAACATCCAATCTGTCCCGGAGAAGGCATCCTCTGCAAAAAGAATTCAGAGTGAAGGATGACGGGAGCCAGTTGAGTCACTTACATTACAGACCCCAGACCCATCACGAATGGCCACACATGAGCACCTACAAGTGGCCCACTCACCCTTGCCAGTGTCTGAGGCATCGACCAACCCATCCACAGCCAGCCACTCGGAGGAGCCCGCCTTAGCCTTGTCGCCGGAGAACCCATGAGGTTTGAAGTGCTTGGCCACCTCCAGGTAGTCATCTAGGAGACCTAGGCTTTCTTCAGCCCCCAAACCCGACTGGTCGAAGGGGGACATCAAGTCCCCCGCCAACACCTCGCTGCTCAGGAAGCTCATCTCGGTCATGTTGTGGGGCTTTGCTGGAATCGAGGAATGTGCTTAATTCGAAGGTGTCTCTGTCGATTACAGCAATGCTGCTGCTGGATGCCGTGAAAAGCCTGGATGGGAATCAGAAGGCAAGACCCCTTAGAGGTGGGCTGGGCTGGGAATCCCGTCAGACGCGCAGGTGGCGAGTCGGGAGCACGTGGCGCCAGGGCCATTGTGTCCGCCTTCCCCGCCTCCAACTCAGGTTGCACAAAATGGACGCCGGAGGAGTCTCGGCCATTCCGCAGCCGGTCACCCAGGGGAAGGCGCTCGTCCCCACTTCCAAATAGGGCCACGGCCACCGCCCCGCCCCGTGACTCACGGCCCCGCCGCCATCTTGGCTACTGCCACGTTCGCGGGGCGGCCGGGACCCCAGCGATTCCAGGAGTGCCGAGGGCCGGGAGCGCCCGCGCCCCGGAAACTTCAAAACAAGGACCGCGCGTCCGGGCGCTCATAAAACCGCTTCCCCCTCGGCGACGCGCCCGGCAGAAAGCCGCGCCCAGCCAAGCCGAGAGCCCCCGCCCATGCAGGGCGCCTGCCAGTGCGGCCCGCCCCGGTACTCACGCCATGGCTAAGCCGTCAGGGGTTGCCGCTGCAGAGCCGGGTGCTGCTGCCGCCGCTGCAAAGGCCAACGCTGCCGCAGGCACTGCTGCCTCTAATACGCCATGGTGGCCGCGCGCCCTGCGGGGGGGAGGAGGGAAGGCCCACGCTCAATCGCAACCCTACATCTACCGGCGGACGGGACAGAAATGGCCGCGCGCGGGGCAAGCCGGCTCTTTATAGGCTCCGCCTATGGGACGCAGCACAGAGCGCATCCTTCCGCTGCGACCACGTGACCTTAGCCATCGACTCACTCGTTCCCATATGTGTGATCTCCCACCGGCGCCAGCCCTGTCTGTATGCCAGGGAAGTAGTTTTGGAGGGAGAGGAGTTTATTCAGGGTCTCATGAAAGAAAAGGGCGCACTATTTTACAAGAGCCCTACAACTTAGGAGTCATGTCCTTCCCTCGGCCGCCGCGGGTCGCGGAGGGATCTCTCAGACACGCCTCGCTTCCGGTGTTAGCTGAAAGGGCGGGGAGAGAAGTTTTTCTTGCCAGGGAAGCTTTTTTTAGAAGACCGAGCCGCCTGGTTATCTCGCGAGATGCTGATGGGAAGCGCGCGTCGAGCCGATTGGCCCATGCGTGGTGAATCATGTCTATTTTGAGTTCCTATTGGCTCCAGGCCTGAGGTGGGCGGGCTGTTCAGCGAGCCCAAGATCCGGGTGGGTAGGATCCCCTCGCAGGGCGGTCACCTCTGTTCTTGTTTGAGACCCTGCGGCTTCAGTGGCTCCCTCAGCCCGGCCCCTTGCCGAGCGGCCACAAACGGGCAGGCTTCCGCTAGCAGGCAGCTTTACCCAGCACGCCTCAAATAGTGGCAGCCGGGCCTGGCTGGGGGTCCTTCCTACTCGGAATTAGCCAAATGACAGCCCAAGTCCCCCCTCCCACCCACCAGGGCGCTCTCTCCCTTCCGGACCGGTTGGGCTGCTTCCGACCCGGAAAGGTCCCTGAAAGTCACCTGGCCCAAGACTTTATTTTCCAGTGGAGCCGACAGCGAGCGGCTGGCCCGGCCCCCCCAGGTAGGCTCGAGGACCGCAGCGGAAATCAGGGACTGGGACGGCGCTCCTGGTGGGGCCTCATTGGGCGGTCACCCGAGCCCTGCGTCCCTTCTCTGAGCCCGAGGTCCGGAAGGATGCGTGTTGTCTCCCTATTCTATGTTCACGTTGCCCATTCGAAAATAAAAGTATGAGGACTTTGGTTCGTGCAGACTCGATTCCCCCAAGAGCAGGTTTCATGCGACTGGTGTAGCCCTGGGGTAGTTCTGATTAACTGCCAGGCACGGACAGCTTCCCTACAAGCCCTCCCAATGGCCTTGTGAAGCGAAGCCTGCTCAGGGTCGTTTGGCTGGGGGCGGGGGGTTTAGAAACTGTGGTCTTAGTGGGCAGGCCCCCCACCACCACCCGCGGGAGGCCGGGGTGCCAAGAAACCTCCCTCCACAGTCCGTTCCCGTGAAGGTAGAAACCTTCCCCTCCACTTGCGTCTGCCATACAAATATCATTTCTACAAATGCTGGCTTTGTCATTTATTAGCTGGGACATTTGACAAAGTGACATACTTGTTTTCTCATCGATTGAGCATCCTCGTCCTAGGAATGGAGTGAGACCATATACATAAAGCACTTAGCACGCTGCCTCCTACATAGTGGCCGATAAATGGTTGCTATTGTTACTATTATTAGAACTCAGGTTTCAGGCCCCGACCTCCCAATCCCATGCCATCACCTACTTCTGCAGAGGACTCCTGTTTATAGTTACATGAAACCGACACTAGAACGCGATCCAAGGCATCCTGGATGCTGGGTAAGTGTGGTTTTCCTTTCCCTATGGGGTACCATGAGACATACAGAAGTTGTCTTTCAGTGAAAGGCAGTAAGAATCCTGAGCCATTATTCATGTCTTTCAAAGGAATAATTCAGGCCCCCTGGGAGGGGTGTCCTCCTTTTGCTCTACAGACTTTTGAGGCGTCTGAGGACCTTTCAAGTGGTTGAGAATTTTAAAAAGTGGTATTTCTCCAGTTTTGACACTGCCAAGGCCATAGAAAAATGAGTCTGGTGGTACCTTGTCCCACCCATGCCATTAAAGAGACTCAGGTGAAACATGTCAGTTTCTGACTGAAAAACGCAGACCCAGCACTCCCAAAGTAAAACGTTCTGTATCACACACAAAAGTCAAAGTTGTTGGAAAGATTTTTATTTTCTTCTTCCCATGCTGTGGAAGGACATTGTGTTCCCCAGTTAAATTTCCTCCCTCAAGGAGAAAAAAAGGATAACGGTTCTCTGGGTCTCAGGGCTAAGCTGCTCCTATATAGTCCTAGCCAAGACAGGACACGAAGACTGGTGGTGGACTCCAGTCTATGAACTAACACATCAGCCACCACCGAAGGGCAGGCAAGTGACTGGAAGTTAAGTTGTAGACTTGACCTCAAGGACCAAGAACTTAAGAGACTATGAGGTGATCAAAAGGAAAAGGTAAACAACACCCTGTATGCAGCTGACCACAGAACCCACATTTCTGGAATTTGGGCCACTCTTTAATAAATAATTTATAAAAAGGCTACATCCTGTGGCAGGAATCAGCTCTAGTCCTAAAATGTCTCTTGCCATTCTCCTTCACCTTAAACTTAAGGCAAAAGGGCAGAGTTCTAGCAACTCTTTTGAGAGTTAATGTTCTAACCCAGTGAAAGCGTACCATGCGTGGCCGAGGACTCTGGACACAAGGTGATGCCTCCCTACAGAAACCCCCTCAGAGCCTCTCCAGGGCCCTTGATCTTGAGGCTGATGCTTCCTCTAAACCATTTGAGCTTGAGTAGAAAACAAGGAAGCAAAATCAGCTCATCTGGAATGTGAACAGGTAGACAATCACGCCAAGACCCAGCCGCCAAGAGACCACCTCAACATAGCTTTTCCAAACGTAGCCTTCACCATTTCTTTCCTTTAGTTTTTAAAAGTCAAAACCAAGATAAAAAGAAAAATACTGCTATCCAGAACTCATTTTTTAGAAAGAGGCAAAACAGGGACGAACCAAAATAAACATGGAGTTTTTAGGTGTTTGAGATAACAATGAGTACATTTTAGGCATCAAGCTGAGTATATGGTTTGCTAATCTAGATGGTGCCAACAGGATCTCCAGAGGGAAGAGGAAAAGCAGGTGCTGTTCCTTCAAGGCAAAAGTGGGAGACGCTGAACAGAGAGGCAGAGTAATGGAGACAGCTACTTCATCTTTCCCCAAAGAGTTTTTAAAAAGGCAGAATTTTGTCGTCTTCCATCCAAGCAGCCCAGAGCACTTGGTCATCATCCACATTTTATTGTGAGGAAAATGGCAGCAAGAGGACAGCCAGCCCAGTCAGCGGACCCAAGGACCAAGGCTTCTGAGGACTTGTAAGAGGCTCAATTCTAAAATGAAGTTATGGTTTTGTGAAGAATAATTAAGTCAGAGTTGCCCTGAAAAACAGGAAATAAACTCATTTCCTCACCTAAATTCAGGTATGCTTGGCTTTGATAATTCGGGACTCTGAAATCTTGAGGGTCTTTAAAGCGTTTTTTTTTTTTTTCTTATTTTTGAGTTCTTCCCAATGTTTTATATAGAATTTAGTCAGAGATGGCAACTTGGGAATTTTTAAAGTTTTATAATATTTATAAAATTTACTTTGGAAACCAAATCCTTTATCTCAACAAATAATAATCTGCTTCTGTAGCTATCAACCCTCCCCTCTACTGGGCTCTAGATGGGTCATCCGAGCTCTCAATGTCAGGTCCCACTCCATCCCCTCCACATCAGTCACCCAGGTAGTACGCAGGCACACAGAGGTTTTAAACTCCCCTTTGACAGCTCGGCTGTCAAGGTTCTTGCCTTTTCAGAAACAACTGGACTCCCACAAGGACTCCTTGTGTATGTACCAGAGAAGAGGCAGAGACCAAACAGCCAGGCTACCCTAGTTCTAACCTCCGAATCTGACAAAAAAGGGACGACACCTATCTCTGCCCTAAACTCTGGGATGCCGAGGTGTCAGTGCTATTTAAAGAATCATGTCACTGTCAGGGAAGGGCTGAGACAGCTTCCCAGAATCCCACTGATGGAGAGGTAGTAAAGAATTTAAGACTTGATGGGAGAACAAAATACTGAATAGGCAGATCAGAAAGAGAACTGCTGTCAGCCTCTTGCTTCCAACAGGGAAAAAAATACAAATCAGGAAGACACACTGATGAGTATTAACCACTCCCCCCCTGCCCTCAGGATATACATCCATTGCCATAAGTAGCGCAATTTTAGCAGCAGGAAACAGGAAGGAATGTGGGGAGTGCCCGCCTCCCTCTTCTGCAATTTCTTCCGGGTCCTCTCTCCCTGGCTAGCACCCATCTGCCCAGCTGTCAAGTGAAAGGCAAGACCAGGGAAGGAGGGCTGTGCATGTTCGTTTGCCCCTCGGCCTCTGGAGATGCCAGGAACGCTTAGCAAACACTCCTCTCCCACTGCTGTGGCAGACACTGCAGGAAGGAGGACTGGCTGCTGGGCCTGTCCTTACTCTAAGGCAGCCTCCTAGAAAGGCAGGGCCCACTGGGGGGACCACACACAGGCACCAGGCCCCAACTGGGACTGAGTTTTCCAGCTGACACTGAGCCTCTGCTGCTGAGGCTGTGTTCCTACAAGGCCTTGTTCTGTTGGCAACAGAGAAGGAAAGAGACGAAGCCAGCACCCACGGGAGGTGCTGCCCCATCCCTCCCTTGTCTGGCTCACAGAGACATGGAGAGACAGACAGTGGGCATGCAAGCCCTCCACCAGGCCCTCTGAACCCGTCTCTCCCACCCCCAATCCTGTGGTCTTGCTGATGGTTCACTAAGAAATACAATCTCCAAATAACTCTGCATCCAGTTCATCCTGTGTGGGTTGACAACCATGTTCCCAGGAGAGATGCTATCAGCACTTAAGAATTCAAGTTGAGGGGACGGGGAGGATGGATTTGTTTTCCAGGAACCAGGGTCAAAAGCCGGCTCCTTTCCACCAGCCTCAGCCCCAGAAACCCTAAATACTGTCTCAGCACTCACTCTGCAGAGTTCAGCTTGCAAATATGCAGTCACAGCTCTTCTGTGATATTCAACTAAAAGGCAACACCTTGATTAGGCAGATATGCTCCAAGGACAAGAGCAAAACAGAAGGCATGAACAAGAGGAAAAGATAGAAAAGACACTGAACAGGAAGAGGCAAAAGGAAACCTGGGCCAAAATGCAAAACCCCCAGTGGTCTCAACAACTCAGGCCAGCACTGCACCTTCTCAATTCATTCCAGAAAAAAATCAACCTGGAGCAAGGCGGGGAGTAGGGAGCACAGTGTTTGGTAACAAAAATAAAAAGGGTTGGGTGAGAAAATAGGAGATCGAAGAGATGTCATTCTAATCAGCATGAAGTGACCAGGAAGATGGCCAGCAAGACAGGAGGCACCTAGGGACCCTGTGAGGCACCAGCCATGTAGCCAGCTGTTTCTATCGGAGACTCCAGTACCTGACCGCCCAACACCTGCTCTGGCCTTCACTGCCCTATGTCTGCAGCAGCACTTCCGGCTCAGACAATGAGCAATAGAGAGTATATCCCAATTCGTCTATTTCTCCAGGGGTGAGCTCTGCAAATAAGTTCACCTTGGGGTTTAGGGCACTGGGCAGGACTCCTGCCTCTAAGTAGCTGATGAGTCCCCTCAAAGCCTGCAGGAAACGGTCAGCTAGCATATCTGGAGACCAGTCAGCCTCCTCCTGGGCCAGGTGGAGGATGACATTGGTTAGCTGGCTGGCAGTGAGGGGGCCTAGAGCTGGAGTGGACTTGCATATGGCCTTGAGTATCTTGAGGCACAGCGATCGGCAGCCTGAATCAGCCTGGTCCAAAGCCCGCAGACGCGCTGTCTCAGCAGGACGCAGGCTCAGCCGCCACAGGTTGTCATACTGGGCTAGCCGGTGTGGTCTGGCCACCAAGACAGTGTCACCAAGGGTCACTGATGGCAAGAAGTCAATGACAAGATGTTTGTCCTGCTCATACTGCACTTCAAGTGTCAGGGCCTCTGGAGGTGGAGCTGGCCGGATCACATAGTCCAAGAGGGACCCAATGGCCGGCCAGTTAATAGAGCCAGCCACAACCTTCTCAAAAGTGTCTGCTACTGTCTTTGGGGAGAGGTAGCCCCCGACAACACAGCGGTCCCAGTAACTGCTACCACGAGGAAAGTACTCCGGATTCTCACGACGAACCAGGAAGAAGCCAGGGACATTCATGATGGTGTCCTCACCAGGGATGCATGACCACAGGTTCTGCTCCAGCACAAGGGGAACAATGAGTTGGATGTGGTCGGCTGTCACCACCTGCCAGAACAGAATTAAAAAGGTTTTGAGGGGTTTACTCTGCTCAGGGGACATGCTTCCCCACACACAGGCGGCACCATCTTGCATTCCCCAACAAGAACAGAAGCCAAGAATTCTTTCATGTCACCAAAGCAATCCATGTCGTGAGGAAACCGGAAAGGAGAGATGGGAACAAGAATATAGGAAGGAGCAGTTTTCTTACACTTTCTTCAAAATTGTGAATATGACTAAAAATGAGAAGGTTAAAGATGACGTGAGCAAAAACAAAGCTGCCCAGGAGCAGTTTCACAGCAGGAGAACCTCAGTCTGCCTCGTCAGCCCAGGACTTTCTAGACTGATGACACTACTGAGAAGCTTCTGGTCAGAGCCCAGCCCCACCCTTTGTGAGAACCACCATGTTACCTGCAGGTCATCGTAGAGGCTGCCACTCAAATACATGTCCCGAAGTGGCATGTCAGGCAACTTGGCCCGTAGGAAGCTCCGGAGCTCAGCACATATGTCCACGGCAGCTTGCTTGGCCCGAGCCTGCTCTCCAGCAGGGATGGCTGCCCGGTTCCGGTAGTAAGTAAGAAGTTTCTCCTGCAGGGACATGCGGAGTCGTGACTTCTTCAAGTCTACCTGGCCCTTCCGGGCCAATGGCTTGGGCCGGGGCGGGCAGAATGTATCTGCCAAGGCAAGAGAGAGAGGCACATGAGCTCTTCCCATGCTTGCTCAGTCCACAGCTGCCTCAGCCCCAGAAAGGAGAAGGGCTGGGCACAAAGGACAAGTACCTACACGGTGCCCGGCACAAGTGTGGTCAAGAAATGCCTGTGCAACGAAGGAGTAGTGATCAAGTCCACAGGCAGTTCCAGCAGGGTAACATCCCTTCTCACCTGTGTCAAAGGCCAAAGAGTCTGTGGGAAGGGTCTGTAGGGACCGGCTCAGGCCTGTCTTCATGTCCTTGTTCAGCAGTCGGGGGGAGCCCATCCAGTTTGGTTCTTCCCAGCTCCTTTTCCCTGAATGACTCAGGCGGGTGGGACTGGTTGGGGCGCTGATTGCCCGGTCATACATCTGAAATGGCACAGAGGGCCCAGGACATATACCTGCCTTTCCTTCTCTATTTCCTTCCAATCCCCTGCTCCCCAGAAGTTTGGCCCTAGTAAGTGCCAATTACTTCTTTTACCTATGCTCAGGATTGAACTCAGAGCCTAGCACATGCTAGGGAAGCACTCTACCACCAAGCCACATCCCCAGCCTCCACTACTTTGTTTTTTTCCAGTGATGTCGTACTGGGAATTGAACCCAGGGGCACTCCACCAATCAACTACATCCCCAGCCCTTTTTATTTTCTATTTTAAGACAGGGTCTAGCTAAATTGCTAAGATTGGTCTCAAACTTAAATCCTCCTACCTCAGCCTCCCAAGTTGCTGGGATTACAAGCATGTACCACCACACGTATATGTACTTATGTGTACTTTTGAAATGGAATTTTTTCATTTATCATTTTGATCATTTCCTCATGTGACTAGGATGCTTCCACATTTTCTGACTATACATTCATATATTATAAATACACCATGATTTTGAACAATGATTCATTTATTTAACAAATAGTGCCAAGCACAGTAGTGGACACCTGTAATCCCAGCTACTCAGGAGGCTGAGGGAGGTCAGCCTCAGCAATTTAGCAAGACCCTCAGCAACTTGGCAAGACCCTGTCTCCAAAAATTAAAATAAGGGCTGGGGTTTTGGCTCAGTGTAGAGTACCTGCCTGGAATGTGTGAGGCACTGGGTTCAATTCTCAGCACCATATATAAGTAAAAAAATAAAAATCCATCAAAAACTAAAAAAATATATATATTTTAAAAAATTAAAATGAAAAGGACTGGGGATATAGATTAGTAGTAAAGTGCCCTTGGGTTTAATCCCTAGAACAAAAAAAAAAAAAAAAAAAAAAATCATCCCTTGGTATTCCAGGGGAACACCCTAAGGTTTCTAAAACCTTCTGATGCTCAAGTTCCTCTGAGGGCACAAAACACTGCATTTAACCTATGTATACCTTGCTATATACTTTAAGTCATCTGCAGATTTTTTATAATATCTAATGCAATGGTAATGCTATATTCTTAAACAGTATTGTTTAGGGAATAACAACAGGAAAAAAGTCTCTACAAGTTCAGTACACTTTTTTTTTTTTTTGCAGTGATCAAAACCAGAGCCTCACACATGCAAGGCAAACACTCTACCACTAAGCCACATCCCCGGCCCCCCAGACACATTTTAAATATTTTCAATCTGTGGCTGGTTGTGTCTGTGGATGTGGAACCCACAGATAAAGAGAGCTGACTTTATCGGGAGGCTACTGCATGCTGGGCATTTTTCTAGGTGCCAAGAATAAACCATCAAACCAAAGAGGCCCAAATCCCTGCCCTCATCAGTTTCCAGTCTCCCAGGGAGATATAGGCAAGACATAACAAACAAGCTAAATATAAAGTACACAGGTAGAGATGAATGCTTAAAAACAAAAAAAGTAGGCAAGGGAAACAGAAGTATGCAATTGGTGTAGTGCCACTAATTTAAAGGACACTTCAGTTATTTGCAATTTTTTACTTGCCAGGATACATTTATTTGTATTTCCAATCATTTCTTTAGGGCAGAGTCCTGGAAACAGACTCAAGGTCTCAGATATCTGATTCCAACACCAAGTTAGACTGGCAGTATCAAAGTCTTGTTCCTACTGAGCTCTGCTCTGTGAGGCTGCCTTACTGCCTCCCACCCCTGGCCCTGGCTATGTGCACTTACCCGCTTAACCGCCAGTGTGGCGATGCCCAGCATGGCTGCTCCACCCACCCCCAGCACCAGCCGGGCATTGGAGAGCACAAAATCAATGGCTGTGCCAATGCCATTGTCATCCTTCTTGCCTTTGCGCTCACCAGCGCCTGCCATTGCTCACCTGCGAATGAACAAAGAACACAGCTATCACCACCTGGGACCTCAGGAACTATGCGCCTTGTGCCCCCTCTCCTGTCAAGGTCAGGTCTTGCCTCTAGCACTCAAGCACTAGGGCCTAAAGAAAGGCACCAGATCTTATGATACAACTGGATACAAGGGAGGGGAAACTGACCATGTATACTGTGGGTAAAACGCCCCATGATCTGCAATCAGAGAGCATGAAGTTCACTGTCAGTCCTTGTTATAAACACAAAAGTGACCAAACACCCTGTACATAGAAACACAACTACAAGTCCATGTGAGAGAAAGTGATCTCTTTCACTCTGTGAATGCTGCTACTTGACAAATGCTTGTTTCTTGGGGAAAATACACAGTGGGACTACCAAAGCTCAGGTAATGCCAAGAAAAAAAACACAACACTCTAGTCTCAGCTGTAGACTAGAAAACAAAACCAACCAACCAGCCATCTGCTCAAATGTCCTGTGAACTCAAAACACAGTCACAAAGTGTACATGACACAAACCAGAAGAGGCCTCCTGCCTGGTGCTCAAGCAAGGCAAGCACACACTTGCTTCCGGGCTACATCTTGGAATCATCCTGATTAAAGTAGCCCTGAGCCTTTCCCTAGTAAAGGAGGGCCTTGTGGGCCATACCTGACTCCTGCTCCCAGCCTGCTGCTCTCTCCCACTGCCTGTGACCTATATTACAGGAAATACCCGGAAAAATGAAATTGTGTACCATGTGGTATCTTCCAATATCAGATCACATTTCTCTCAATACCCTGTAACAACAGGATATTACTAGTGTCACATCTCATGCCCCTGCCTTTCCTTCTGTGCCCCTCAAAAAAGAAATACTTCTGACTATACTCATTCCAGCAATTGCATGGTATTCTAACAAAAACATGGGCTTTACAGTAGGAAATCGTGAGACTGAGAATTTGCCTAGAGCCCTGACTAATTAGCTGGGTGACCGCAAATGGTTACTTAACCCCTCAGCTATGAAAAGGGGAAAATGATCCCCACATGGCCCCAAATCACAGGCTGCAGTGAGGAAAAAAACTCTGTTGCAATGCTGTCTGTGAACATTTTATAAACTGTAAACATGTTCCACAAATGAGGGCTGTCATTAAGTTATTTAAGATTCCCATCTACAGGACACAAGGTCAGTTTCCAGGAAGCACTCGACAGTCCCACCTGTCCTCTAAGGCAATCTGCATCTTTTCAGGTGGAGCTACACTGGCCTCTAAAACTCATGCTGAAACTATCCTGGGCTTCAGATTGAAACTATTAAGTAGAGCAGGCTTGTTAAAGACTCTCCTGCCCTAATGCAATGCCCCCACCCCATCCAAGGACCAGGTGACATCATAGATCAGGTAACCTGGAGGAGAAAGAACGTTCACAAGCTCCTACAAGGAGATGCCATCCTTATTCTAACTTAATTCAACCTGTTTGGTGAAACTGCTCTCCATGGCACATCCTGCACTCGGGTTCTGCTGAATCCACCTGCAGCCCACTAGCTGAGAGGAACTCCACCTTCCAAGGAGGTGGGGCCTGGTTCCTTAGGGCAATAAAGGACCAGTGTTGTTTAATAGGTTTAGTTTGATTTGCTAGATGAAAAAAGTTCTGGCAATCTGTTCCACAACAATGTGTGTAAGCTTAATACTACTGAAGTGTATACTTAAATGCTTAAATAGTTTAAGAAACAAAAAAAGAAGCCAGGCATGGTAGCACACGCCGGTAATCCCAGCAGCTTGAGAGGCTGAGGCAGGAGGATCATGAGTTTAAAGCCGGCCTCAGCAAAAACAAAGCACTAAGCAACTCAGTGAGACCCTGTCTCTAAATAAAATACAAAATAGGGTTGGCTTGTGGCTCAGTGGTTGAGTGTCCCTGAGTTCAATCCTGGTACCCTCCCCCGCCCGCCAAAAAAAAAAAAAGGAACTCTGAGCTGATGGCCAGGACTAGGTATGCCAACATTTTGGGCAAGTTTTACTTGTTTCCCTAGACACAAAAATGGGTAAAGAAACACTCATCACTCAAGATAGTAAGGACGATGGGTCTTGCAGCATTCTAGCTTGAAAGGTCAGAGCTATGAACTTTCCAACTTAGTTTACTTGAAAGTCATAGGCTTTTTTATAAATATGTCTGGCATATACATGAGAAGAGCTAATAGCAAGTGTGGAGGCTCCTGACAGCCAAAGTGAAAGCCTCAGGAACAAAGTCCCTCTAACCTTTCCCCACCCTCCTGTCTCTCACCCCTCATTCTCTAAGGCAAGTCATGGAAACCAGAACCCAAAAGCCAGCATTAAAGCCTAAAAATATTACTCCATCTTTCCCCCATCTTTTTGCAATAACATTCTCTGACCTTCTTTTGACTACAGTCCTAAGACACGCCCCCTCCCATTCCATAAAAGAGCCACAGGAGGAGATGCTACAGCTGAGGAGCCAAAGGTAACAAGGCCAGGCAGCCTTGCTGGGCTTCCCCTCTCCATCCATCACTGTAAATCATACTTTCTGTCCAGTCATTTTTCTGCACAGCTATTCACACTTCCAAGAACCTAAGCATAAAAATGGGTAATTTAACCTGGGTCTTTGGGCCTTCCTTATGAAGGCTCCTGTGCACATATAAAACTTTGATTAATCTATTATGCTTTTGTCTTGTTGATCTGTGTTTTCCTAGAGTGTCCCTCATGATGCTTTGTGATGGATAGGAAAGTGAGCCCTTGTGCTGGGCACTTTACACACATTAATTCTTCACAACAACAATCCTATGAGGTCAGTAATACTGTTATCTCCAATTTAAAGATGAAAAAAATGAGGCAGATGCTAAATAACTGGCCCATGGTAACATACCACACCAATAAATTGTGCACCAGGATTTGAACCTAAGGCTTATGCTGCTAGGGAGAACTAATCTATGGGAGACCCAAACAGTTTCCAAACTCCACCTTGTTCACATCTCTTCTATTACCTACTAGACCACCAGCTTTCTTGGGAACATTCACTGCTGTGTCCTTAGGATGCAATCTTTTTTTTTTTTTTTGCAGCGGGGGGTGGGGTCACTCAGCCACTGAGCCACACTCCCATCCCTTTTTTATATTTTATTTAGAGACAGGGTCTTACTGAGTTGCTTAGCACCTTGCTTTTGCTGAGGCTGGCTTTGAACTCATGATCCTCCTGCCCCAGCCTCCCAAGCTGCTGGGATCACATGCATGAACCATGGCGCCCAGACTTAGGGTACAATTTTTAACATAGTGAATATCCATTGTATAAATGAACCATAAGGAACCCCTCTTAACCTGGAGGTTTTTTTTTTTTTTTTTTTTTTTTTGAGTGGGTTGTGATAGCAAGATATAGTGTAGCTCAGAGTCAAAACAGAGTAGGAACACAGAGGCTTTAATAATTTGCTATTTCCCTTCCATATCCACTACCCCTCCCTGTGCAGGCAGGCTCCCAGGGGCATCATCCAACCCCTGACCTTGTATTACCAAAGGCAGTTCTGCCAATCAATGTACATGGCTAATGAGAACCAAAAGTCATTACATAAGGCTCCTCCTCCTGATTTCCATCTCTACCCAAAACAGCACCTTCTACCCAACTGATAAGCCTTAGACCACAGCTACCCTTCATTCTGTCTCCTCCTGCCTCAGCCAACTGACTGCGCTGCCCCGGTTGTACATGCTGTATTTATATTTAACCATCCACCACAACCTTAGCCCTTTAATCCATCTGGCCAGATTCAGTGCCTCTGTTTTCTCTCTCCAGTTTACTCTCCACATCACCCTGGCATGCTCCAAGACACAAATGTCACTGCATTCTTACAAAGCTGTGATGGTCCCATCACAGTCCTTAACAATGTTCTTCCAGATCTGGCCCAGCCTCAACTCCAGCCACGTGCCTTACAGATGTTTCTAGCCATTACGAAATGCAGTTCCCATGTCCAGGCACCTGCTTATTCTCATCCCCCTGTCTGATGAGTTTCTATTTCTCATATAAGGTACACCTCAAATGTCCTCTTTTCTATAGCCACCTGGGATCCCCTCCCACCACACAGCCCAAGGCAGAGCTGTGCCTTCATTGTCTCCACAACTCTTCCTACAACCCTCAAGGATAGAGCTGCTTACATTAGAATTACTTCCCACTGATCTCCTTAGAGTGAGTTCCTTGATGGGCCGTATCATTAATCTCTCTCCCCAGAGCCCACCAGAATGCCAGGGCTATACAAGGCCTTCCGGAAAGGCTGCTGAATTAAATATGATCACTATACTGCAGTGGGACTTCTTAATAACACTGGGAGAGCTAAAGACAGCTAGCACACCCCTCACAATAGCATCCCCAGTGCTGTGTGCGCACTCATTCAATTCTCATGGAACCTAAAGAGGGAGGTACTATTATTTGCACTTTACAAATGAGGAAATGAAGGCCTAGAACAGTTTAGTGACATGCCCTAAGCCTCACAGCCATTAGCAGCAGTGCCAGGATTTAAATCTCAATCTTTGAACTCTGCAGTCTGTATGCTATGCTTGCTTTATAAATTGTCTTGTAACAGAACAGCTATCTTCCAGAGCATGATCTGACCCACAGTATACCTAAATCTAACTGAAGAACAGGTGAGCTTGAAGCTGAACTCAAATGGTATTAACCAACGTCTTTCCTAACATTTTTATATATAAAGTGTTCTATGAAATAAAGTTGTGATAAAATGGTTCTGGTGGGACTTGAAACTCAGGTCCTGTTTTTCTCAATAAGAGAACCCACTTCTATTAACTTGTCCATTTCCTCCACTGATTTCAAAGGATCAAAGGGCGGGCTCTGGTCACAAAGGAAAGGTTCTTCCTTTCCTGGTCCCCCATATTAGAAAAAAAAAAAAAGAAGAAGAAGAAAGAAACCTACAGGAACAAGGACCTACCTGAGGAGTCTTAATGCATCTGTGAGGAGGGGCTGGAAGAGAGCAGGAATGTCTACAGAAGGCACCTTTGTCCTCTTTCCCTTGAAATTAGAGTGGGAGGGGAAAGAGAGGATCCTAAATAAGCCCCCCTAGTTTGCTGCGGAGGAAGACGAGGCCCTTCTCCAGCTGCTTCTCCCGGGCCTCAGGATTCTCTAGCTTCTGATTTTTCCGGAACTCACGGCGGATGGAGGCAAAGTAGAAGTCTCTATCAGTGTAGCGAAGTTCTCGGCCCTGGCGCAGCAGAGCCCGATAGAGACTCAGCACCGCCTCTCGGCTCCACGGGGCCATGGGGGACTTTAGGGGTTGGGCGTCACACTCTAAGCAGAGGGAAGATATAAAAGCCTAGAATCAGAATTAATGACAGCAGAGCATACAGAGACTATGTATGGGGTCTCACTGTGTTGTCCAAACCAGCCTCCAGCTTGTGATCCTCCCTCCTTGGCTTCCCAAGCAGCTGGGACAAAAGTAGTGTACCACCACTCCCGGCGAGATCAGGTTTTCAATCCAAGATTCGGACTTCCAAGGTTACACTGTGACTTGTGGCAGGGCTAGGATTGGACTTCAGCCTCCCAACACTACCTCCTGGGGAAGTCCAGAGTGTGGCTCACCAGGGCTCAGATCCTGGTCTGTGCCTGGGCTGGAATATTGCTCTGCCACTTACTTGCTATATGACTCTAGGTAAAATACTTGCCCCTCTGAGCATCAGCTTCTTCACTTATGAAATGGAGATGATGCTATTATGGTACCAGTACCTACCACATAAGGTTATTTTGAGAACTGCCATGTAAAGCACCTGTTAAGTAGATGGCCATGGTCTAGCGTAGTTGATGGTAAGGACTCAGCCACACTTGAGTCCTGGGCCCACCACTTATGAGCAGCATGACCTGGAGCAAGTTCCCTAACCTCTCTGTTTGCCTAGTTCCTCATCTGTTAGTGAGGAGAGACCATATTTTGCCCAGATGGTTGGTCTGAGTATTAAATGACTTAAAGTGTGTGAGTATGTTTACAGCAGCTCTCGGCACACACAGAGCCTATCAGGACAGCTACCGCGGTGCCACCTCCAGGCTGATGCTCCCTGACACACTAGTTACACACGGACCACAGTAACAAGAAGCCCCACACAGGGATGGAGTAAAGTGCTTTGTCATCCATTATTACATCTAAACTGAGAGCCAGGAGGTGGTCAGCGTTCCTAACAAGTGATCCCGACTCTCCACCCGGCATGTTCTAAGCACCTCCCACTCGGGCCCCTCTCCCTCAGCAACCCCAGTGTCACGTTATCCCGTGTAAGTGGAGGCAGCGGAGCTCCCGGAGGAAGTGGCTCGCCCAGGACCCACAGCTGTGCAGGGAGGCCTGCGAGGCTCTCGGGGCGCCCTGAACTTCCCCAGCGCAGCGCCGGCACTGCCCGGCTCAACCCGCCCGACCTCGGGGTTCGCGACGTGCCTCCGCGGAAGGAACGACCTCGCGTGTCAGACACGGGGGAGCGGCGGGGCCGAGGGGCAATCTGGACTTGGGGCCCACGGCGAGTCGACCACAGCCCAGCCTGGCCGACCTCCCAGCGCGCTCGGGCCAGCCACCGTCGCTGTCCCCTTTCCCTCAGCTGCAGAGGCACCCCCGCGACCCCGAGGGCCCCGGGACAAGCCGCAGGAAACGGGAGGTGCCCGATGAAGAGAGCCACCAACCCGCGGGCTGCTCCTGAAGGGCGCCGGGCGACGCGCGGCGGCCCCGCCGGTCCACGCTCGCTCCCCCGACGCCGAGACCCCAGGAGGACCCGGGAGATGAGGCGGGACGAGCCACCGAGAGGCCGGGGGGAGGCTCAGGGCGGGCTGGGCCGGAGGCAGCCCCCGGTGGCCCCTACGCCTGCTCTCACTCACCGCGGGCCGCGCGCTACCACTTCTCAGGACTCGCCACTGGCCCGGTACCTCTCTCGGGGTCACCCATCAACATGGCCCCTTTACTTCCGGGGCGCGACCTTGCGCACCGAGCCGAGGGAGGGACTGAGGGGAGCCAGGAGCGGGCGGACTTCCGGTCTTCTCTCCACTGCCTCCCTCCCGAGGCGGGGCCGAGGGCTCCGTCGGGCCCCGCCCCTCGCGTGGGGCTCCGCCCACTTCCCCGAGCCCCGCCTCCGTGGGTGACGTCACCTAGGGACGGGCCTGCAGAAATCTGCGGGCCCCGCCCCCGGCGTTCTTGGGGCGGCGGTGGGCCCCGCGGATTCTCAGAGTGTGCGGTGGGGAGTGATTGCGGGTGTCGCCCTCAGACTGTTAGACCGGCCACCTCCTGCCAGCCCCTAGCAGCCACGGGCTCTGGCCAGCCCCCTGCGCTGACTGCTGACCTTGGGCCCGGGCTCTGAGGGACTCTGACACCCTTATACCCTCTCTGGCTTCTCTTCCAAACCCACTTTCTCAGATCGCTTCCTTTGACCCCTCCATGTCGGCCCCGCCTCCTGGGCCTCTTGTCTCCGGGCAAACTCCAGCCCTTGCTTCCAGGTCTACCTCAAATGTCCCGGCCTTTTCCAGCCCCTTCCTCCAACCCTCAGGTTGTTTCTGGGCCCCCAGATGCCTGCACCGCTCTTTGTCCAACAGTGAACCCCTTTCTCCGCACCTGTTTCGTGTTCTTCATCCATCTGCTTCTGTCTCTCACTGTACTTCGGGTTGGTGGCCGTGTCCCTCCAGAATCTGTGAGCCCAGCCCCCAGTGCCTCCCCCAGCCAGGGATGCTTGGGGTTTGGGACTCAGGCTAGTGGCTCTCTGACAAGTCTCCTAACCTTTCTCGGCACCTAGGCTGTTGGGATTAAACTGTTCAGCAGGAGAGACTTGGGGAATTACAGGTAGTTGTCGACTTATTCATTCTTTCAAGCCACAAATCCTGGACCTCTAAGGAGCTAGGCCCTGCTGTGGCCCCGAAGGAAACTGCTATCTCAAGAGCTGGGAGATGGCAGTGCTCTGTTAGTGCACTCCTGTAATACCAGCTACCCAGGAGGCTGAGGCAGGAGGATAGCAAAATTGAGGCCAGCCTTGTAAACTTACCAAGAACTTGTCTCAAAATTAAAATAAATAAAAAGGATTGGGGATGTATCCCAGTGGTACCGTGCCCCTGGGTTCATTTCCCAGCGTCACTAAAACACACACAGGCACACACACCCCACATATGTAGGCAGACAAGGACAGGAGGAAGAGGGCCTGAGGAGGCAGTGAGCCAGCCAGCCAGTGGTCAGGAGGGAGAGATCCAGAAAGGCCCTCCTAATAACAGGGACAACTCTCCAGGGAAGAGCCTTCCGGGTGGAGGCTCCCAGTGGGGCCCTTAAACTTGAATTGTTCTGGAGCAGCAGAGGGGCCAAGAGAGGTCCTTATGGGACAGGGGAGGGAGACGCCGGTGAGCAGGTTTGGAACTGGGGCAATGGGACCTGGCTTCCCGTTCAACAGGGTCAACCTGGAGGGAGAGTAATGGAAAGGAGCCAGGGCGCCCCTCAAGAGAGCATTGCCAAACCCCTGGAAGAGAGGATGGCATTCAGGCCAGAAAGGGGCGGTGCAGGGAGAAGGGGTCAGCTCTGGAGTGTACTTGGAGGCAGGGAGGCAGAATTTGCTACTGTGGCTATGATAGAGAAGAGCCAATGGCTTCTGGCTTCTGCCCCAGCAATGGCCCTGCCACCATCCTGCTCCACACTATTTAGGAGCCTGTTCCGGGGATTCCAAATCGCTGGGAGAAGGCCACTTTCCAGTCTCCACTAGGTGGAGGAGGGGACTTCCTGTGACTGCAGCCCCGGGGAGACTGTGAGCCCCTGGGACCTGTGGGGAAGGGAGGGTCCCAGATAGAGGCCTGAAGGAGGCTTAATGACTGTGTGTTCCAGGGTCTTAGGAATCACTCCCCAAGGGCTGGCCTGGCCTGGGAATCAAGATGATCTCCCTCCCACCACCCAGGCAGGACCACACCCCAGAGCCGCCTTCATTGAGCACATACTACACGCCAAACACTGGCCAAACACAGTCTAATTCAGTGTCCCTGTTTGCTAGTCACCATTATCCTAATTTTATAGATGAGGAAACCAAGACCTAATCAGGGCATGGTGGCACACGCCTCAGCGACTCTGGAGGCTGAGGCAGGAAGATCACAAGTTCAAAGCCAGCATCAACAACTTAGTGAGGCCCTAACCAACTCAGAGAGACCCTGTTGCTACATAAAATATTTGAAAACGGGAGGATGTGGCTCAGTAGTTAAGGGCCCCTGGGTTCAGTCCCGGGTATTAAAAAAAAAGAAAACAAAGACCTAGAAAGATTCATAACGTCTTTGAGACACGGAGTTGGGCAGCAGAGAGGCGCACAGTGGGACCCAAGTCTGCCTTACTCTGAAACGTGTGTCCTTTCTGTTCTTCTTGACTGCACTACTTTGCTCTTTAAGGGAATAATTTTGTGACCCAGTTAAATCTAATTGGTGACATTTCCAGCTGGAAGACCAGGTGACCGCTCCGATCCCTCCTGACCTTCTGGTCTGTAGAATATTATTTTTAGGAGGGAAGGATGGAGGGAGATACTTCGGAGGTGGACACCAACCCACTGTAGCACGGGGTGGGAGGGGGATAGCATAGGTCACATGGAGCATTTGCAACAAGCTTTATAATGATGACAGAGGTCTCAGAGGGCTTTCCAGGTGATGGCCCAAGGACAGGGATCAGCCACCCAGGGCTGGCAGGCCACAGCCTGGAACCTGACCCTGACCTAACAGCAGTGAGAAGTCTGCACCATGGTACAGCTTGTGTCTGGGGACAATCGGCTGCTTTGTGAGCTGGCTGAGCCCAGCAGATCAGTCCCCAGGTGACCACCGCGTCCACTCATCGGCGAGAGTTCACACGGACCAAACTCTCCCCATGCGCGGCCCTGGCAGCGCCAGCTCCCATTATTCTCAGCACAGGTGGGCAAGAGTAAGAGAAGTGGCGTTGTCCCGACGGCATCCGAGGAAATGGGGCCTTAAAAAGCCTTAGGTGGCAGGACGAGGACCTGAAGTCAGGTCTGGGGCTCTACACCACCGTCCACAGACCAAACAAAGTCACTTGGGACCAGGGTGCAGAACGAGGACAAGAAGAGGGAACCCTGGGGACACTGGAATCTGAGATTCAAGAAGCAGAGGGACACTGGGGAGGAACAGTCAGAAGACAGAGTGTCCTTGAGGCTTGGGGGTGCGGTCACAAAGGCCAGCAACCCCGAGAGTTCAAGGCAGAGCCCGGGGCCTGCAGAATGAACGGGCTGGGACGAGAGAGCGGACAGGACAGCTGGAGGGGACAAAAGCCAGCTGTGTGCCCTG